TGAAGAAGTTCCAGGCGACTGCTACTCTACATTGTGCAATGGTCTTGGGTTCAGCTTATCGCAGAGCCAAAATGTATTGACCAAACATCATTTGAACCTCCCAGGAGCTTTGATCGAATTATTCAACAGATGGAAAGTCAGAGATGGCACCAATTGTAGAGCACTTCTTGGAGAAATTCTTAAAAACGCTGTTATGGATGACCTTCAGACAAAATTATTGGAAGGTGACTTTGTCATTGTACTTGTTATGTCTTTTTTGTTACATGAATGCCGTCATTTCATGCGCAATCACAGATATGATAACGATAAACATTGTGATACACATAAAATGGACAGTGAGAAATAGATACGAAAGCGTGAATAATTTTTATTCGCGTTAAAACACAAGATATCAAATAAAACCTAAAAAGAAGAAGTATTACCAGCCAAAAAAAAATCATTTCTTAAGCGTGCAAATCATGTCCACTTAAAACTACTTTACTTTATGTGCGAAGTAACAACATGGAAGAAAATGGAAAGGTTCAGAATTTTATCCCAGGTTTTCGTATTATTGAAATAATTTTCAGACTTACACTGTACATGTATGCTCGACCCCTCCACCCTGCCAGAGAAATATACTGCTTTAAATATGGTACCTGGACAGTATTTACAACATTAATTAACAAAACATTAATCATTCTTTTATCTATGTAATTTATTTTCCATTCTTAAGGTGAATATCTTACACCTGGAACCTCACTGTCTGGTAAGTGACATAAGTGTACATTACACATTTTACACAAAAGATCATTCGTTCATCAGGGGACTATCATTTCTTATAAATAAAAAAATAATTGAAAAAATTGCAGCTATACTGAATTTTCAAAGTAATTTCAGAACAAGCTAGGTTTGGGTTAGATAAATATTATATATTTCAATGGGAACATTAGTTAAGAAACTCTGTTCTCTCATTCTCTGTTCATATAAAGCATGAAATTGGGTTAGGGTGGACTTTCTTTTTAAAGCAAGCTCTTTGGACGTATTACTGGACAAATGTGAAATTTACTTGGTTGCGTTGTGTATCTGTTACTATTAAGAGCATTGATCAAAGATATGTAAATCATGTATTCGTAATATATCTACAACGTACCGTCGAAGACTGACAGTATTTGCATGTTCGACCCACATCATTTCATTTCCAATAAGTTGTGTTTCAGGATGGGCTGCAACCCTGTAGATATTTGATATGTCCCTATATTCACCACCCAAAGATGTCAGTTGCCCTTCTAGACGAGTGAGGCATAATATATCTTTGTCCTTATTTGTAACATCTGTTGAAATAGAAATTTCGTTCAATTTACATAATTTTGTTTAAATCTTCATTCAGATCCGATTATGACTGAGGCACAGGTTCTCAAGTGTGGAGAAGACTTGAAGACATTCTATCGCGAACAACTGTGCAAAATCAAACCTGACCCGCTTGATTTCAATATCACCTGTGGATTCGAGCAGATTTACACGAACTTAACGCTGCTCAGGAACGAAGTGGGAACAAAGAAAACCAAAACACCACTGGATTATACTGATCTTCTTGCTACAAAGATTAACGGGGTACTTCCTAAACGTCTTCTGGTTGAAGGTGAAGGTGGTGTTGGTAAAACGACCTTCTGTTCGAAGATTGCATGGGATTGGCTTAATGGATCTCCAGAGTTTCAGCACTTCAGTTGGGTTCTGGTTATACCCCTGCGCGGCGTTGTCAAGGGTCAGACAATTGGTGATATTATGAAAAACTATCTCTCCGACAGTAATGCTGCAAACCCTAAACAGATCGATGATTACATATTGTCTCAACCTACTAAGGTTCTGATTGTACTTGATGGACTTGATGAGTACGATGGGGACCTCTCTGCCGAAGAAAGCTCAGATATTTCTCAGATTCTACGATTGGAGAAATTCAAGGAATGCACTGTTCTGGTGACAACAAGAACGTGGAAGGCGGATAAGATCAAATCCAACAAAGAATTGAGTAAGGTGTATGCTTTCATCGCAGTAGAAGGATTTAGTGCTGAAAATGTCTTGACATACATCAGCAAGTACTTCGTGAACGATAAAAACGCGGGATCAGAACTATGTCGGTTTATTGAAGTGAATGATGTAATCAAGGAGAACATGGCACCCTTCCCAATTTACGTAGCAATGCTATGCATCTTATGGGAAAATTGTGACAGTGAGAAACGAGAAACCATACGCAGACTGAAGACATTTTCTCAATTATTTGAACAAATGATCCTGTTTTTAAGTGACCATTATGTGTCAAAAGGTGCCAAAGTGTTATATGAAGCCTCATTGGACAAGGAAAGGGAAAATATAAAGCTTTGTTTGCAAAGAATAGGATCGATTGCCTTCTCAGGACTCCTGAAAAAGAAATTGGTTTTTAAAGAGGAGGACTTCAGCTCGTGTAAGGAAGCCATGGAGACATGTTGCAGAATCGGACTTCTAAGTAGGGAAAATCAAAATATATCCAGATGGAAAAGGACTTTGAATGCTTCACAGTCTGTAACCACAAATGTCTTCTTTCCTCACAAATTGTTTCAAGAATATATTGCGTCTGTTTATCTTGCCTCTTTATATGACACGAATCGCGTAGAGTACAGTAGGTCGATGGGTGAAGCACTGAGCAAGAACCCACAAGAATTCCGTTACCTCTTGTATTTCACCGCTGCCATGGGAAAAGAGTTGGGGCTTGATATTGTCAAGAGAATACAACAGAATGACTTCCTAAATGTACAACAAGGAGATAGAAACAATGAATTTCTAATAGATGTCACTTTTGAAGCACTTGACATTGACACGGCGAAAGCAGTAGGACTACAGATATTTGCAGACGAGAAAATGTTGATCATCGATAAAGACATGCCTGCTCACACAGTGTCTGGTTATCTATTCATCATGGAACAGCATGGAATGGTTTGTTATAGCAGTCCCGTAACTAGGATTTCAGTGTGTGGGAGGGGGGGGGGGGTAGTGCATACCTTATATGAAACGGACGAGGTCGCAAAGCTCCCTAGCGGGGGAGTGTCAGGAAGGAGGTATAGGAACAAATTTAGATCTTTTTTTATGTGTGTGTGTGTCTGTAAAAAAGTTTTAAGTACAAATTTGAACATCAAAAATAGTATAACTTATAACTGTGTCCTACCTATAGATGTTGTTTGCACTGTTGCATTGATTCCTTTATCAATATCACAATGGGCATCATCCTCCTTGGTAAACGTATGCATGCTACAAACCAGATGCAGTACTTGTACAGTATGGTACAGTACATACGAAGTGGTTAACCGTTCCACTTGTAATTACTTCCCATCAGCAGTAGATAACAGGTGCGGCGCGGGCCGGAACTGGCCGCGGATGGGGTATTTTCCAGGTGTCCTGATTCGGCCCATCAATCCATCAATTCATAATCAGTGTTTTGTTTTTCTTTGTTTATAGAGCGGACCTCTTATCACTAGCAGCGAGAGGAAATGCGCATGCAGCCTCTTTAGTTATGGCCCTGTATAGTATCATTTATAAACTGCACATGAGGATCCTAGGCCGCTGATTGGTTAAAACAGCAGACACGAAAATATCACTACTGACTGCTGGGCAGTAAATGTATAGCGGAAAAAAATACCTTTAGTTCAAAGATGCAATCGTGTGTGTGGAGTCAACAGTATATTAGCACAATGGAAAACGCGCAGTTTGTTTAGACGAGTAAATCTTCCTTCAAATAAATATCCTCTCTCTCACATGGTTTACCCGCAAGCCTACTGTATAAATAAATACATTTCGATAGGCATATTTTGCTATAATATCTCTTTTTGAGATTTGAAAAATCAATTCAATTCAATTTTATTCGTATTTTTTTCATTTCCAACAGAAAGATAAACAAAGGCATTACAGATAGTATACAGAAATTATGTACAAATATATACATGTAGGCTCGACTGAAACAAACATGGATATTATACATATCAACACAATCAAATACATAACGTTACATGTACAACCAGGTAAACACATATTGCGGTAGTTCTTCATCAGTTATTAATTGTTGGATGGGAACCATTACTTTCATAATTTAAGACTATGTAACCTTTCCCGCACTTGGTCTTTATAGGAAGCACCCAGGTATATCCATCCTTGCACAAACCTATATCTGTTTTATGTTGCAAGCAACGGTATTAATGTGCTTCTTTGAAAAGATGATGTAATTCAATATAGAAGTGTTACATTAACGTTAACTTGGTAGACATCTACTGCCAGTTTGACGTCGATGAACTATAGCCTGAGAGAGATTTTGACATGTATACTGAAACTAGAAAACTAATTTTGACAATTCAAGTAATGGTTTCATATATATATATATTAAATATTCCCATGCCTGTATAACGAGTCAGGATCATTTAAGCAATAAGAACTGTTGAGTAATTATAATGTGTTCATGTCTCTTACAGGAGACTTTGGAGTTCAGAGGCAGATCATGGGGCCCAACTGTATCACGTGACCTAGCAGACATCCTATTCGCATCGAACTCATTATCAAGATTAGTGTTTTGTATTACAACATTGGATGATGACTTTTATCAGTCAATGCATACACGAGTTTCTACAATAGCGGTAAATATATAATTACTTAAACAGAATGCTAATGATTACTATCCGAGTGAGATAGCACATATGGAAATAAAAGAACAATTAATCAAATACTTGGTTAAAACAGTGAACTCAAATGTCCGGTCTTCTTTATATGTAATTCTGTTGTTGTTGTTGTTGTGTTTTACTAAAGAAGTTAATGAAAAGGTATATTGCCGTAAAGCGGGGTGGCAACTAGGGGGGTGGGGGTAAAGTTTACGTTATGAAGAGAATGTAGAGAATTTACAAATTATAACTAGAATCTGATATTATTTGAAAATAGACTTGTTTATAACACTCTATTTCGTTGTCATTTTACATACAGGGAGACAAATCCTCAATAAAAGAGCTGGTTATAGATGATGCATTCTTAAATGGTCTACAGAGGTTTAATAATGGTGAAATTAATGTCACCGTTGGCGATCTATTCCCGAGGTTGACACAATTGTCTTTTACCACTCGCCGTACTGTCTCTCCGGAAGTAGTTGAACGGTTGGCACATTCCAACCTAGCAGTGTTGTCTATTGAGCATGGTAAGCAATGCCGATATCAAGTTCCTCTCATTGGAGAACCTGCTTCACTGGGGCGACTTTTCTCCAGCTCATTCCCGAGACTCACCTGTTTGACCTTCCGAGAGCTAGTAATGGGCAACATACGCAGTGAAGCAATATTACGTAATCTAAAGAACCACCTGCATTTGAAATCAATAAGGTATGTTCAGAGCCACGTTTGCAGAACTTGTCACTATTTACAGTGATGTTATTAATAATAATAATAATGATAATACAAATCAATCAATAATGAAATTTTTATAAAAAATGGATACTCCTTTATATGTATAGAACAAAGTACAAACAAAATGAATGAAATGGTTTCAATTTCTGACAGCAATCGGAATTATGCCAAGAGCAATTTTTTAAGGGTAAGAGTTGTCTGCTTCTAGCAGTGTTGTCAATTATTAATTATTATTAAAAACTATTTTCGTTTTGATAGTTAGGACTATTAATCGATCATTTTCAGTTTGAAACTTAACGAAATTCTTTTAAAAACATTTGTTTTAAACATCAATAGCTGGTATATAGCCTGTTTAAAATGAATGATAATATGATATTCTAATATATTATAGCATATAGTAATATATTCTTCTTTATTAATTCCTATAAACATTAAGTGAATCTAGATGTTCAAATATGTACTTTCCTTGAACATATATTTTGTATAGTATCATTAGCTGTTTCACGGATGATGAACTGGACCCCCTGGCTAAACAGATAACTACTGAGAAGAGGATGGAAATAACATGTCAACATGACACGGTAAATGATTTTGTCATATCCGACTATATTGTTCCTAAAGAAGTTTAAAAAGTGAAATTATGATACTTAAGAAACGTTCACATTGACATTCAGTTGGTTTTGAGGAGAGCAGGAACTTTAGAAAAACAAAGTAGTGAATGTTTGTGCAAAATCTGATAGAAAAATAATATCATTATTGGTTATTTTGAGATGTATAAACAATCAAACAAAAATTGACATCGCTTTGAAGGTTTGCCAGTTCTTCTCCCATTCGCTCTGAACTGAGAATATCTTTTCCGTAAGAAACATCACTCATGTCCCAAACATATAATAATTACACATATGTTTCTAGACAAAGCCTGTATGAACAGAAATTCTTTCATCAGCAACTAAGAAAATTGAAATTTATTATTTCTTGTACAGCGCAAATTGAAGAGGATACCAGGAAGGAATTAAGTTAACACGTATCAAATACCAAGTATCGTTCATGTCCAATTCTAAATACAAAATTAAAAGCATATGAATCATCAGACACCTTCCATTGTCATAAACCGAGATGATTGGAACTTGAAATATAAAATTTATGATACGCGTCTTCTGGAAATCTCATTAAACTTTGCCCTACTTCAATTATCATATACAACATGATCGGTTGTTTTTACGAATATTTCCAAAATATTGCCAATACTAGTTCTTAATACCTGGTTCTTTGTGCTAACTATGTGGCTGATGTCATGGTATGCCCTTCAGGTTTTTTTTCTTCAAATAATGAACCAGCATTATTCTTTTCAACAGGCACAAAGGGCGTTATCTTTTGGCGGCAAAGAAGGACCATTAACGATAGATATGATAGATGCACTTTGCCATCGAACGTGTGTCCATCACTTGGAAATGTTTGAGAATGGCGTAAAGATTGAAGGAGAAGAATGTTTTCCAGGTTTTCATGGCAGAGAGGTAGATTCAAAGGTTAGTGAAGCAGCAAATCAACTTTCTTACTTACAATTATACCCAATCACCCCCCCCCCTCTCTCTCTCTCTCTCTCTCTCTCCCTCTCTCTCTACCTCTCCCTCTCTATATCTCTCTCTCTCTATCTTGTTCTCAGTTTTCATTAATTGTCCTTCAAGAAGAATATATATATTATTTCGTTTGAATGTCGAAATCTTAATTTCTGGATGTATAGATGATATGTCTATAATGAATCCCCACTAGATAACAGAGCTTTTACGTCAAACCAGATTTATTTGGAAATTCCTTAATAAAATTGTAAAAAGGGAAAGAAAAATCACATGTTCTGACAAATAGTGTAAAGACCTGATTGTAATTATCACGACATGAATTTTACCCAGAAAATTATACAATAATCTGACGGGCATAGGACCCTGCATCATCTTGTGAAGTCCGAGACACAATACACGTCTTGATTAAAATTCGAAAGATTCAATCCACAAACACTTCGATTTGTTTCATTTCCAGGTTTTTTGTTTATGTTATCCATATGGTCTGATAGGATAGAGCCATAACCCTCTGGATGCATGCCCTTAAACACGATACCTTCATAGCACTCAGTTTTAACAGAACAAACAAAGATGTTGTAATAAATTGCCATAAATCACAAACTATTACCATTACCATTTTCAAGCATACCTATGTGTTATTCTTCTTTTACTTTGTTTTGCTTCGTGTGTTTTTTTTTTTGGGGGGGGGGGGGATGCTGTTAAAGTACTGAGTTACGAACTAAAGGGTTTCCACTACCTTTTATCCACCTTTCCTTCTTTTTTGACGACGTCCACCATATACAATTGCTTTTCCACAGATTCGAAAGGATGAATACTTGAAATCATTATTATTACTCTACTAAAAAAAGGGGGTGAAAAGAAATACTTTCTCTATATAAACACGATGACCAAGCAGTATTCTGCTGTCTGGAGAAGTTACTTTGTCTCTGGAATAAAGCAAGCCATCTGTATTTTTAAAGTTGAATTTGATATATCTTTGCATTATGTGGGTATACGAATTGTATATGGAAAACCAACCGACCAAGCAATAAGTGAGCGTGTTGCTCATCAGATTTCTCTCTCTCCCCCCCCCCCCCCCACTATTCAGAATTCTGGACCATCTTCGTGATTATGTGAATGTTTGATGTGAGAGTACGTACTGTTTTAAGGGTTTCCACTATATTCCTCACTAGTCTTCATGCTTCATGATTTACGTATGCCACTCATTTGTATTTCCATGCACAGATTCAGACTTTTAAGGTTTGCTATTTGAAACTACGCAATGATCAATCGGCATCCTGCTGTCTAGGGAAGTTTCTCAGTCACCTGTCTCGTCTGACAGACCTGAATATGGACACATGTTCCCTTCATGATTATTTCTACAAAGAGATTGCTGATCAAGCTTCTTCTTCTCAGGTAAATAATACAAAAAAACAAGGAGATATGGACATAAAATGTTACATATTTGTCTTCTTCTTTATACTGTGATTCCGGGTTAGAAATACAAATGAATGACATCAATTTTCTGAATACTTTTCCATGGGCTTAAAACTTTTAAGCCATCATGTACAGTAAAAGCAAGATAAACTTCAGCACGTAATATGAATGTGGTAATAATCCTGGTGAAGTATTTAAAGTGGGATCGGATGCATTTTCAGAATCTGAGGATACACTGATAATGATGCAATTTGTTAAACCCTGCCTTCTCCAATACGATTGATTAGTTGATTGAACCTACTATGTCTCCTGAATAGAATAATCCAGCAGTCCTTTTTATACTGGCCAATTTTTATATTTCTCCGTGTTCATCATGTTGGATCATATACAGTCAAACCTGTCTATAGCGACCGCCCAAGGGAAACACAAAAAGTGGCCTTTGCAGACAGGTGGTCTTTGTAGACAGGTTCATTTAGTACATGAGTCAATGAGAAACCATTTTCAAGGGAAACAACAAATGTGGCCTTTGTAGACAGGTGGTCACTAAAGCAGGTTTGACTGTATATACATTTTATACGGACAATAAAACTTATTAACAAAATAATGAGTAAATTTTGTTTATACAATTCCTTTTTATTGACCCAGCTCCCCCCATGCAAAATTCTGGATCATTTTCTGTAATTATGTGAAGGCTTAATTTGACTGTACAGACTATATTAAGGGTTCCATTATTTTCCCCATGTCATGTTATGTCATGTTATTCTTTTGTATTTTCATGCACAGATTCAGAAGTTTATGGTTAATTACATGAACCTACTCTATGATCAATCAGCATCCTACTTTCTGGGGAAGTTTGTCAGTCTCCTTTCTCATCTGACAGACCTGAAGATTAAGTCAAGTTCCCTTCATGAAGATTTCTTCAAAGAGATTGCTAATCGAGGTTCCTCCTCTAAGGTTAAATATATTCTAAAGTTGTAAGGGCGTTAAGAATTTACTATATAGGCCTATAGGGTGATAATTAGGGAGAGAATTAAACAACAAAATGATTTGTAATTTTCTTTGTCCTCATAGTTTGAAGCGTGAAATGGGGAAACCTATGTCATTCATTTTCCACATATTTACACATTCACATGTTATAAAATAAATGCAGGATATTGCTGATCGAGCTTCTCCATCCCAGGTTAAAAAAAAAATTAAATGAGGATAGGGTTTTCACTAATTTCCCCGTTTACTGCTTCGTAAATTATGAAAGAACTTTGCCAGACTGACTGTGTGTGTTTGTTTCGTTTCAACTCTCATTCTCATTCAACTGACACGCAGTCTAAGGGAGCTGCACTCATTAGAAGCTTTATCATTACCTTTGATGTTGAACATCATATATATGTTGTGTTTTTAAATGATTTTTATGATTTAGAAATAAATTTAAATTGAACTGAATAGAATTGGTTGAATTGAACTTAATTAAATTGAATTTAATTGAATTAGCTTAAATGTTGTTTAATTCAATTTAATATGTGTATTTTCACAGATTCAGAAGCTTACGGTTGGCTTCTTAGACCTACACAAAAATCAATCAGGATCCTGTTGTCTGGGAAAGTTTCTTGGTCTCCTGCCTAATCTTACAGACCTGGAGATTGACCGATCTGTCTTTCATGATGATTTCTACCAAGAGATTGCTGATCGAGCTTCTTCATCTCAAGTAAAACAATGCTATGCTTTCACCAGTTTGATTGATGAATTTCTAGTTTCGTATGACGATTCGTAATTTTTTTCTTCTTAACAAGGTGCTACTGCCCCCAATTACCGTATTTCATCCTAAATAAAATGACAACTGCAATGCAAAACTGAGGAGATGTTAAAAATGTTGCTTCCTTATTTTCCAAGACCTTTAGACGAAATTTCAGTTTAAGAATATGAATAAATTACATCCATTTTCTAGATACTTTCATTAGCTTAACACTTTTTCAGCAGTCGGGTAAAATATGAACAACAACTAAAACATAAACTACAGAGATTTGTTATTACTTTTTCCAATACAATATGCTACTGCCCCAATTATTAAAAGTCGTCCTTTTTTGTCTTTACTTCCTTATGGATGACAAATACAAAGTTTACAGTTTACCAGTGTTATGGAAAGTTTTAAAAATGTGTAATTTTGGGTGTATGGTGAGAGGAAGAAAGAGGGTTACAACATAACGGTTTATAATTTTCTTTCTCCCATTTCATACTTCATGGTCCACCTACGTCAATCGTTTTTCTTCCACAGAATTTTTTAATTTTTTAAAGATTATTGGATAAAATATCTCCTGCAATTATCAGGCCTATTTACTTGTTATTCTTTTACCTTGTTTTGTATACAATCTAGGTAGGTATAGGTAGGTATAGAAATCAACTGAAACATACATACAAATGAAAAACATGATAACTTATAATTGCCTCTCTACAGTTTTGTCTTCCTCTCACCTTTTGCGGCTGTCTTGTGTTGTTAATCTACTGAAAATCATACAGTAAATTCACAACATAATTCTTCTGATTTCATTATCAGTGATGCATACAAGTGATATTATTTATACTACATGTACATGACTGATGCCAATCAATTTTTCTATCCCAACAGATCCAAACAGCCAACCTGAATTTCAAAGAGTATAATGGCAAGCATGTTGAGTTATTAGGTCATTTGGCAACCACTCAGCTAGCCAAGTTTCTCTGCTCTCTACCCTTCCTTACAACCTTAACGATGGTAGGGAATCTATATTTACATGATGTTTTCTTCACTGAATTTGGTTCCCTAGCTGCATTCTCACAGGTAATAATAAAAGTCCGTGCTCGGGATCAATAGGTGATTAGGATTGATGAATTTCTACATATAGCTTTGTATCAAAGGTTCTTAATCACTTTTCTCCTATAGAATATGCTACTGCCCCAATTACCGTATTTCTTTCTCCTTTTGTCTCGCTCATAAGATGAATTTTCCAACCCCCTCCCCCCTTCAAAATCTAACGTGAGAATACAGATTATATTTGTTTCAACTGTTTTCCCAATTTCATGCTTTACATATGCCATTTATTTGTGAAATTCTAAATTCTATCAATCAATCGACAACATTCCCCCTTAAAAAAGATATAGGAGGACGCCAACCACACTTTGGCTAATCTACATGTAGGTATAGAAATCAGCTGAAACAAACATACAACTTAAAAACATGATAACTTATCATTCTCTCTCTACAGTTTTGTCTCCCTCATCTTTGCGGCTATCTTGTGTTGTTAATCTACTAAAAATTATACAGTAAAATCACAACATAATTCTTGTGATTTCATTATCAGTGATGCATACAAGTGATATTGTGTATGCTACATGTACATGACTGATGCACATACATTTTCTATCCCAACAGATCCACACAGTCAACCTGTATTTCAAAGAGGATTATGACAAGCATGTTGAGTTATTAGGTCCTTTGGCATCCAAGCAGCTAGCCAAGTTTCTTTGCTATTTACCCTGCCTTACAACCTTAGCGATGAAAGGGAATCTATATTTACATGACAGTTTCATCACTGAACTTGTTTCCCTAGCTGCATTCTCACAGGTAATAATAATATTTGTGAGAGGTAAATCCTTTGAAGCTTACAAAATTGAGGGTGATACGATACATTCATGATTTGCTGAGTGAATTTCATGGTTTATTAAACCAAACTATTATGCATGAGTGAACAGGAATTGCATTTTTTATTGTAGCATTGTAACTTTCCTTGGTAGACTCAGTGGTGTGTTCATGGGAGTCATGGTGGGTAATGGTACATGTTGTAATTTCCATGTTACAAACATAGGATTAGGCTCTTTGGATGGGAATCAAACCTGGTCTTCCTGCGGTATTAGAAGAACCAATTTATGGATTTGTCACACTAGGTAACTAAAAGGAGCAATGTATATTCCTTGTCTGCTCAATCTTCGATCACCTACCGCGAATTTGACCTTGCGAACATAATTGTCTTCTGATTCATATGTTGCAGCTAACTTCCCAGAGGCCACACATACCTAGGAATAATGTCGTGAAGATAACCTGTGAATATTGTACTGGACATTCACAAGATAATTCTTGTGATTTCAGTATCAGTGATCATACATGTGATATATACAAGAGCATGCTACATGACTGATGCCAACAAATTTTCTATCCCAACAGATCCAAACAGTCAAGCTGGATTTCATGTGGGATCGTTACTTGCCAGTCATGACGAAGTTAGTAAGTCATTCGGCATCCAAGCAGCTAGCCAAGTTTCTCTGCTCATTACCCTGCCTTACAACCATAACGATGGAAGGGAATCTATATTTAAGTGATGATTTAATCACTGAACTTAGTTCCCTAGCTGCATTCTCACAGGTAATAATACAAATCAGCGCTCAGGTTGTCGGATCATGCACGTTTGCTGTTCATCTTCAATTTTCATACAGTAGTATAACAAACGAAGTAAATTAAAATATTTGTGTGGGATCTTTGTGACCAAGACTCGTCCATTTATCAATTAGAAAAACCACCAGTATTGAATTGGGCAAGTAATAAAGGAAACGAAACATTGGGTCTTGGCCAACTTTGAAGAAAATTAATATCAAGTTCATATACTTTCGGAATTATAGAATTATATACGAAATTGCATCAGCATGCGAACTATTGCGATTTCGTTATCAGTGATGCATACATGTGATATTGTGTATGCTACATGTTACATGACTGGTCCCAATTAATTTTCTATTCCTACAGATCCAAACAGTCAACCTGGATTTCAGAACGAACTTTGACAAGGCAGTCAAGGAACTAAGTCATTCAGCATCCAACCAGCTAGCCAATTTTATCTGCTCTCTACCCTGCCTTACAACCTTGGAGATCAAAGGGAATGAATATTTACCTGATGCTTTTTTCACTGAACTTGCTTCCTTGGCTGCATCCCCACAGGTAATAAGAAAAATCAGTGCTCAGGCAGTAGAAACATGCATGGATGTAGAAGCACTTTTGCTGCTCTTCAAAGGATTTTGTGTAGGAGTTTTGAAAGCCAGGCTCGTCCATTGGGTCTATGAATCAATTTAAAGAAAATCTTTTAAGGAACTGTTCTTCAGGAATTATGGAATTATATATAAAATTACATAAGCATGAGAACTTAGCATACTTCTAGACTTTTTTTGTGTGTATATAAAAATAAGAATCTTCCAACTACTTCTATCCCCAGTTAAATTTTATCTTGACCTTAAGTCTGTTCATTTTATCGAATCGATGGTTTCATCACATGGCATGAGATAGGGGGTGAGATAGAGAAAGAGAAAATAAGTGACATGAATTTTTGTTGGGAACCTAACGTTAATGACTATAGTGTTGGTAAAATTGAAGTAGAACAAATATATGCCTTTTTTGTTTATATGCCTTGTTAGGCTTGTCCGTCGGTCCTACTTTTTGTTACTGCGATAACTTGAGTAAATTGCATGGCCGGATTTTAACCAAACTTGGATGGAGTATGAGCATGCAAAGATGAACTGATTCGATTGTGTGTGGTACAGGTAAAATTTTGAAGGTCTCAGACTCAAAAAAGTGTTTAAAAATACAGATAATATTTCATTTCCGCGATAACGTGGAAAGTATTTAAGCGGGACTGCACTACCTGTAGCTACTTGCGCCCTCTATACAGCAAACAATGCCTACGGAGAACCTGTTTGTCCCCCATGATTCCCTTTTCCTTATGTTAATTGAGAGCTGATGTGATGAGATAACCACCTGTCAGTGACCATGGAGTATAGACCATAAAAGTATGGAATTATGGGATGATTAGATTTCGGGTCTGAGAGGTCATGGAGGTGAACGACCATAGGATCTTAAAAATCCCCTAAATATTGTATTAATGTAATAATTTAACAAAAATAGAACCTATGTCGACCAAACTGGGCTCTTGCATTTTTTTATGGGGGGGGGGGGGGCGGCTACACCATGAGGACTGTGTTGGAACACTTTTTTTTCTTTTTTGTCCGTTATCTACCCCCTTGCATTACTGCTGTCTATGTGTATGTATCTAATCAAATTGTTATGGTATAGTTTACAAAATCAACATGTACACTTCATAGACGTACATGTATAACAAACACTATGAACATGACGGACAAAGAAAGCGGACAAAATATACAGTTCCTCAGGTAGACAAAGGAACATCCTTTCACTGCTATTATGTAAAAATGTGTAGAACAGGTGTCACATGCATGTTCAACTGTTCTACACATTTTTTACATTAAGGCAGTGAAGGAACGTTCCTTTATCTACCTGAGGACCAGTATATTTTGTCCGCTTTCTTTGTCCGTCATGTTCATAGTGAAAATATAGTGGTTTCAAAGGAAAAAATTATACTTAAAGGGGAAATTGACAAGGTTGGCCGAATCCGTACGTTCTAAATCCCTTGTCTCCCTTACCTTCATACTTGCAGCTAATCACATTTTTGTATTTCTGTGTACGGTTGTCATTTCAGAATCCTTACTTCAAGGAAAAGAAACAGATCAGCTTGCTGCAGGCGTGGTCAGCAAGAAAAGATCTTCAACAAAAACAACAACTCATGATGATAAGTACACACCAAAAACCTTCGAACCTCGACATGCCTTCAACCAGCGGAACGAGATCTACACAACGCAGAACAGGTGCAGGTTTGTACACCAGAATCCTAATCTTTTTCATATGACCTTATAGCCACAAAAGACCAATGAAATCATGGTATGACAATTAAAGTCAGGTAACGTCATGTACATATTTTCATTGAGTTAAACGAAATTGGATGACCATTGTAAAGGTGTCGTGGTCTATTAGATACGTCAACGAACTGTGGATCGCATAGCTTGTGGTTCGAGTCCCGTCGTGCCATATCACGTCATATTTACGTCTTGTACTACGTCTTTAAGACGACATAACACGACGTCAAAAAGACATGATTTTGCACCCGCGCACGTCGTCATGAGGACGTCATATTTTGACGTGATTTTTACGTCTTATTAGTCAAAGAAAGACGTCTTTAAGACGTCAACTTGTACCTTAGGAAGACGTCGTATGGACGTCATATTTACGTCTTACTAGTCAAAGAAAGACGTCTTTAAGACGTCAACTTGTACCATAGGAGGACGTCATATGAACGTCATATTTACGTCTTTTAGTTAAAGAAAGACGTCTTTAAGACGACATAACACGACGTCAAAAAGACATGATTTTGCACCCGCGCACGTCGTCATGAGGACGTCATATTTTGACGTGATTTTTACGTCTTATAAATTAAAGAAAGACGTCTTTAAGACGTCAACTTGTACCATAGGAAGACGTCATATGAACGTCATATTTACGTCTTTTAGTTAAAGAAAGACGTCTTTAAGACGACATAACACGACGTCAAAAAGACATGATTTTGCACCCGCGCACGTCGTCATGAGGACGTCATATTTTGACGTGATTTTTACGTCTTATAAGTTAAAGAAAGACGTCTTTAAGACGTCAACTTGTACTACAGAAAGACATCGTATGGACGTCATATTTTGTCGTGATTTTAACGTCTTATTAGTCAAAGAAAGACATCGTTAAGACGTCAACTTGTACCATGGAAGACGTCGTATGGACGTCATATTTTTTTCTGGTCTTATTGGTCCAAGAAAGACGTCTTTAAGACGTCAACTTTTACCCAAGAAAGACGTCCTACAGACGTCGTGTATACGTTGTATGGACATCAAATTTTGACGTGATATTTACATCTTACTGGTCATTTCGATGTACCTTTTATCCTTACATGATCTTTACGTCTTTTGTGTCCTCTAAATGACATCTATATGACCACCTGATGAAGGAAGAAAGTGTAAAAGTCACTTCATGAATACATTCTGAACATTCACACAGTAAAAATAGAGCAACAGATATTGCATCACATAATATATACACATGCCAGACAGAAAGTAATTTTCATATTTTTAATGTTCATTTATATGGTATGAAAATGGATAATAAAAATATAGAATACTTATACCTTCTTCTATCTAACTTGTCTTCTATAAATACAAAATCTTTCCATCACCATCCTGAAACTTCTTCCAAAACATGCTGTATAAATACCTAGTGCATTTCTGTCAGTCTCATAATTGATTTTAAGAAAGTTAACAGGCCATCACAAAGATATTTGTTTCGTTATAAATTGTGCTATTTCATTTCAAATTTAATTCAGTTACAAGAAACTATGATATATATTGGCTTAACTTATAAGTCTTGCGGTTGTGAGAAGCAGGTTAGCAGCATAGATACTAGGTAAAGCTACACTGATACCCGCAGTTGTTTAGTAGACAAGAAAACATCAGACTGGGGAAGTTCCTCATATTCAGCAAAACAGCATAGTGGAAAGCTGGGCATTCATCAGTGCAGCTCTATTTCTTCTCCATGCTGCAACACTGCTCCTCACAACCCCAATACTTTAATGCAGATAAAGACTATAACATAAAACAAAAGGTTGTTGGAAACAATTCCTGAGCATGAAAGATCAATACTTGTTACATACAAGGGGAATATCTAAGTTTATGGCAATAATTCAGTATAAAGTATAAAACTATACAATCTAAATCACACACAAGAGAAAAATGGCACAAATGATAAACACATGGCTTAGCTAAGTTATTTCTTACACTCAAAAGGAACAAGTTGGCAGCAAGGGGAACAGGGACAGCTTCACTGATACCTGCAGAGTTTTCTGATGATGGTTGCTTGCCCGTTGAAACCACGATGTTCACATTTGGCGATACAGCATATTGGAAAACTGTGCAGATATCAGCTCAACTGTACCTATTTTCTGTGCTAGAAACCTGCTTCTTACTGGCACATGACTTAAATACAAGAAAAGGCATTAGTGGCAACATTCAAATTTTATAAATATCATCCCAAAAAAAAATTGTTGCAAATACAGAAGCTGAAGTTCAAGTATAAAAATACAATTTCTATCAGATAACATTCCCGCCAGTACGAGTGGCTTTGTTGGGCAATTCCAAGGTGACTGTGCAATAATTATTCAGAAGATATTTCCAAGTTTAAGATAAAATAGCAAACATGCTGAACAAGTTTAGCACAAAGAGATACATTCTATTGCTAATGTCACAACATTCATTTGGCACGTTTGAAACTCCTGGGGGGAGTTTCACAAAATATTAATTTAACTTAAATTTTAACAGCGAATTCAATAAAGGTAAGCCATATAGTGCTCTCAAAATCACAGATACAATCCAAGAATTTTATACTTTTAACTACCAAAAAATTCTCAAACCACAAAGATATTTATGGTTTTCTTTGAAGGCGCCACTGTGTGTCACTCTTTAACACTTCATTCTCCCAATAAATTTTTGAATTTTCCCCAACCGTTTTTCCATGAAAATAAGATATAAAACAGGCCTTTAAAAATCTAAGGTATTAGAGCCAATTCTTTTCTTTGTGATGATTTACATTCACCTAAAATTTAATTAAATTATAATAATATAGTTGGAAGAATTAAGGAATCGATCAGATCAGTTGTTCCCAATTTTTATCATCAATAATGGTCTTTTTTCACTCAAACTTTCAGATTATCTTTAAGTGTACATATAGCATTGAAGTCAATACCTTAGCACAATTGTCTCTCATCTGAACAATTTTACCACGTCCCGTTAAGGCTTGCTCAGATATGATGCTGCAAAACAGTCAAAATCGCAGAGTTTTTTAAATGCTGACAAAGAGTTCAATACGCTTTACATAGTGTATATTATTAAAAAGAGCTCACTGAATTTGCGCAGTCCAAAACATACAAAGACACGCACCGGTAGGTCCTTTGTTGCCATTCACTTTACACATAAAACCAAACTGCATCATTTTTGAAATTTGTTGGAGGTTCACGTGCCGTACCTGAACAAGTCTTAATTGCTTAATAATGGATTCGATTTGTATTGCATTTACCTCACTCAATTTTTCTCTATTACCAACTTACAATGTATATACAATTTGCGACATGTTTTAAGAACTGATATGAAGTGGATGGGGTGGGGGGAGGGGGGTGAGCATGAGACATTATGAAACAGGTCAACTTCATGAATAGTAATTACAAATATCCTCAAAATACTGGAATCTTTTAGACTTTTACCCAAATCGTTATTATGTCAGTTCGTAAATCCTGTAATTCATTAAAATTGCAAGTAACATGACTGGAAATTTCAGTTCTACAGCTTATCCATTCAGGTTTGTGGCTACACCTCACCCCTCCCCCTCCCCCTCCCCCAATCTCTCTCTATAAAGTATAATGAAGTGAAAAAATAACCTTTCTCTAGCAGTAAAGCTATCGGGTGAGTGTAGATCAAATTTTGCGAAATATTCCACTTCAGCTTGGACTTGTGGGTTAGCTTTTGGGTGGAATCTCCTGCATTATGCACTGTTTTCAGATCCAAGGAACATAGACGCAAGGAATTCTAATGCATGAATAAAGCAAAAAGAAAGGAATACAATTTAAGAAAAACTTTCATATATTTTAAAACTGGAACGTAAATAATTAATTCTGTCAGAAAATTACTGCTTGGTAAGATTTATCAGAAATAATTTCTTATTGCTCACAAACATAAAGTCAACACACCTTTGGGTTTTAAACATTTGTGGGCAATGCAAAACGTGATTCAGGATTTTGTTTGGTTAATTATCAATACAATTCTAGTTTCAGGGATGCCAGTTAGAATTGATCAGAGGACCTGAAAAATCACCTAGAATGAGCTAGCTTGTACACAAAAAACCTAAACTATGGTATGAAAATAACTCCTCAGGGCCTGAATTCAGGCTATTGCCTGAAAACTGGCATTCCTGTAGTTTGCTGATGAGGGTAGAATGAAAGCTCCTTGACCTATGCTGAAGGGTAAAAAAACACTGTTTGAAACTCACATAATATTGTCGGTTATTGCAACATACCTGCAGGTTTTAGTGATCTAAAATTAATTGAATTATAAATATATTTGAAACTTAGGACAAATAACTGAAATAAGCCTTTCAAATGAAATGAACCATTATGTAGTGTCTAATTCGTCAGTGTCTCAGTGATCATGCACAATATGACAAATAAATGTACAGAAATAATACAAGTACACGTACACATTTACCGATAATGGCTTCACCTGTTTCAAGAGGCTGCTGATCCTTAGGGAAGTAGGGAACATCCACAAGGTTGAGAGAAAGTAGCATTTTCTGAATGGTTTCACATCAATATACTGAGGCCACAATGTGCTTTGAATCCACTTCTTTGACGAAAGATGTTAAAAAAAGATGCCTACAAATAAATGAGAAAATGAATAAAGTTAAAACAAAATGAAAGGTTGATAATGTATGCATGTGCAACACAAATACTACACGCTTCTTTGAACAGCCTGTGGGGAAAGAATTTTGTTTACCATTTACAGGTCTAACCGATTATTTCCAGATAAGATTTCTGTATACGGTAGCCTATAAGCTAAATTTGCTGTCTAAAGACTGTAGAAACAAATTGTTTAAGGTTACCTGTTTGTGACACAAGTCACTGCTTTATTCCTCTACGTATCGACACGCAATGTTCAATTTTCAAACATCTGGGCCTGGGCCGGTACTATAGTACACTTTCTCACAGGTTTCACTGTAACCGCTGCACATTACAAGTGCATACCGATGGTGGTTGCGGGCCGGTGCACGCCTGTGTGAAGTTATCTACCGTACAATGAGGAGGTAGATCACTTCATGCAGACTTACGTGCCCCCGCAACCCTCCATCTGTATGCACTTGTATTGTGCAGCGGTTTGCCGTGCAACCTGTCAGAAAGTGTATACTACAATCAACGTTTTTCCCGAAAAATACTCCCCCCAAAATAAGAAAAATTGACCAGAAACAGGTTAGAAACATAACTTTTAAATCATGACTGGCATTATTTGAACATTTCATGAATATTTGCTTGATTTGGGGTAGGCCGATCTAGACCTATGTTTTAGATTTTTAGGACTCTCACCGGCCACGCCATGGGTCACTGGTCAAAAAGTCTGGATATGATTCTGAACTAGTAGTAGATCTACAGTATTGCTTGGAATAAAGGAGTGACTGCATGTCCATCTTAGGTGTGACTTAGCAGTAGATCTAGACCCACACATAGGAGCATCACTATCCTGACTGTGTAGTAAAACAGGCAACACTGGCACCAGTACATTAACGCAACTTTACTATAATACTACAGTACGATGCTGTTAAAAGCACTTATAATCAATTACATGGGATATAACCCATCACTAATAAATAAACAATGGAACTTACAAGTTTCGTTTGTGTAAATTTCCTTGGTTTCCAGACATCTGGCCTACTTGTTTGCTTATAGCCCATCCGCAATTCAGCTAACGTGCGCCATTTTCGGATTTTATGACCCTTATTTTTACGGCCGCTACGTCCGAATATATGTATGTTGATATGGACGCGATCGGTTGTGTACACTAGCTCAGCGGTAGGCTATTGCGTACGAGCGTTTTTAGAGTTTGGTATTAAATACGTATACATGACTCTGCAGCGTTGCTTTTTGTCAAATAGCGCCGTTTACGACAGATCTGTCCCCGAAAGCACTTTGAGCAATTCGTAATAAGTACATTAAAATAGAATTTGTAAAGAAATTAATGACTTTTTAAAATCATAATTCTTTCAGGATAGGGAAAGAAGTCATAAATATCATTTTAGCCCAACTGAGCCGACAGGGGTGGCGGAGCATTACTATATAATTCCAAAGTATAATATTCAATTTAAGAATTGTGGGGTCTTAATAATAATAATAATCGGCATTTCTATAGTCTATCTTGAAATTCTATTCCGAGGCGCATTTATTATTACCCCATCTTTACCCTAGCTACCATTACAGTGCGAACAATCAAATAAATTAAAGAAACAGTTGCTCTGTCTCTAACTTACTTTGAATTAGGGGCGCATATTGTAGAGAAAGGAAAGGGGGCACTCAGTTATCACTGGAAGGGAAAGTTTACTTATTACAAGGAAAAGGGGCACTATTCCTATGTAAAAAGGGTCACTTTCCCTATGTAAAAAGAGGCACTCTTGAGACACTTGGGGGGGGGGGGGGGGGGGGGGGGGTAAGAGGACACATTTTTTTTTTTTTTTTTTTGGTCTCGAAATTTGAAAATTTGACATTTTGCTCCGTTGGGGGGGGGGGGGGTAAGGTCAGCTTTTTTTTTTTTTTTTTTTTTTTAATAAAAAAAATAAAAATAAAAAATAAAATCCAAAAGGGGGGGGGGGGGGGTTTAGAGAAATTTAGGGGGGGTTTACACGAAAAAAATTACCAAAGGGGGGGTTTAACCCCCCACACCCCCCCCCCCCCCCCCCCCCTGTGTACGCGCCTGTCACAGCCTATCTATCCAGTGAATTCCTAATTTGAGTGCACTGTATATTCTGTTGCATAATCGTCCCTTTCTTCTCATTTTTTTCTCTCTCATAATCGTAACTTTCTCATAAATTAGTAGATTTGTTATTTATTTCTTCCAAATTCGTACAGTGTTTATTATTTTGTTTGACTTTTATTTGTCATTGAATTAAGAAAGTAAAGTAAACTAAACTGAGCAATGATGAAAATTATTAAAAATTGTAATTCCTGACAGATCTATCATGCACGTACTCAGCAACTGACAGCTCTCTTTTCCACATACCCTCTGGAATCAACTGCCCCGGAACATCCGTACAGCACTCGCACTTGTCTAGACACTTGAAGAAGCACTTGAAGCAGTATTTTTCAAACCTTTATAGCATCATGCATGTGAAGCGCTGTGTCTTGTGTGAGAGCGTAACTTATAAATATTATCATTATTATCATTAACATTAACTAGTCATGCTTTCTAAGTTATTTATATACATACTAGTAGGCCTATATGTAAATGTATGATTTGTGTGTGTATCGTAATACAAGAATGAGCTCATGTCACATTTTTAAAAAGTTGGTCAGGGAGTAAATAAGTTATCTCATATTCGCATTATCATGTACAATATCGAATCACATGTCATTTTTGTTATACGAAACAATATGGGTAATGAGGAAAATTAATGAAATGTGATTTTTTAATTGTTGTGGTGTATTTGTTATTGTTGTAAATGCTGAATACCGTTTTCATTGTAAGATAATGGCAATTCGGTTTTGCCGCCGCGATGTATTATGTTATCGTTCTGTTATATTTTGTGTGCATTGAATGAAAAATGAAGTAACTTTCAAAACACCAACAAATATCCAAATAAGCTTCCTCTCAGTTTAAACAATATAATAAATTATTTCGCTACTTTAAAGAAAATCCCATATATTTTTAAGTCGCATCGTGAAGGGTAAGATTGTATTATCTTCTCGAATTTACTGAACAATCTATCTGTAATCGACCAATAAATTTCAGAGAAGTAACATCTACTTGTATAAGTTTTATCTTTCTAATTTTTTTTAAAAATTAGAAACAATCATATTATGAAAAGAGGTAAGATTTTTTTTATTGAACTTTACAAGCAAAAGTTTACAATAACGGTTCTTGAATCACTTCGGTCGAAGCAACGACTTGACCTTGATCAGGACTAGTTTTCTTTTTCGAAGGGGGCCGGTGTTTGCAAACCACCTTCTTGTATTGTATTGATATTCATATTGGAGGGTTAAATGGCTTTTGTCTATTTTAAATGATGGGACATAATTATTTGTCAGGTGGTGGGGCAGTTATATTTGGTTAGCGTCAGTGTTCATTTGCGAATCCGAATGGATTGATCATGATTTTTCCGACTCCTTTGTTTACTGTCTTTAGTTGGTGATGATTATATTATATGCCAACTGATATATCAGTTCTGGTATCATAATGGCTGGTATTATAAACAACCACATGATATTTAAAAAATAGAATGTGTGTTCACCAGGTTACTGACCAAGGCTGAGAGGAGAGCAATCGATAAAGCAATATCAAGAGGTAGAGAGAGGGTGAGAGCGAGAGAGAGAGAGAGAGAGAGAGAGAGAGAGAAACCCTTGAGCATTTTGAAGTGCGATAGGGATCACCATTTAAGTTGTTGACAATGTAAAATAAATCAAATTGCGCTCAGTTGTGATGGAAAATTCACAATGTAAACATTTATTTCTATAGAGAAGCCAAAACATCAACGTGTAGACTTCCAAATGTGTTTAATACACCGTCACACTTTTTTGAAGGAAAAAAACATTTACATTTCAAATTTGATCTATTTTGTACATAGTGTTTACAAAAAGTACACAAATACAATGAACAGTTTCTATTCTCCTATAGAAACAAAAATATAAATGTAAATACCTGAGGAACACATGTACAAAAATACCCTATGTCAATGACACGGTTGACACCCATCAGTTGGTGACTTGTGTTTAAAAAAAAAAAAAAAAATTGCTTTCTCTTTTTTTCCACAGACAAAGCACACCAGTCAATACCATTAAAACCTTACTTATTGCAACAAATTACAACATGTACATGAAAGCATCCACATTTTGAACACGTATTTTTTGCCTTTTATCTAGTATACAAACAAAATGGTCTTCTTTAATATGTGTTTTTACATTAGCAAGCTGACGTGACCGAAACTTATAGACAACCAGATTCCAGACTAGATTTCAATTCGGAGTCGGGATCCAAAAAAATACCGCGTCCAATCTATAAAAAAGAAGAAGCTTATAGGCCTTTTTTTTTGGTTACGCATGCGAATGCAGCCATCAATTTATATTTGACCGAGACCCCTGGGCAAATCCCTTTGTCAAGCGTCATTATTTCTGAGATAAGGAGAGTATAATGTTCAATAATTTGCTTTACAATCATGTACATCGGACTGTAAAAGCTCTCATGAACATGCATAATGCTTTTATTAACTTCAACAATAAGTCTTCTTGAAATGAACAATTCGTGACGTGTATGGCTAGCATTATTCTAAACTGTAACATAAAGACTATTATTTTCACCATACATTTTGTCATCATTTTTCATTACGGTTATGACGTTTCGGAAAGAATTTATCTCTGATTTCTAGATTATTATTTTTTTGCCCACCCGGTAATAAAAGAACACGTAAATCATTTAATAGTATATATGAATAAAATAAGTACGATAGCGACTTTTCATTTCCCATTACTTTATTTTATGGACTATCTCCATAATTTCTCCATGATAAATATTCCGAGGAAAGAAACTTGATTCTATATAGACAAACAAAGAGTGTAAAGTTTTAGTGGTTGTATTTATTTATTTCTGATAATGGGTACGTCGCACATTATTACCAATTTGATGGTCTTCCATGAAGCCCTGTTTGGTAAAAATAAAAAAAATAACAGCAGCAAAAACAAAATAGATAAATACACAAGCATATAAACAGGTAAAATACAAATTAATTGGTATCCTCATGAAATAACTAATCATTCAAGAATTATCCTTGGATCATATACAAAAAATGTGTTAAAGGAATTTTCAATTTTATTAGAAAATACATTTAACAAAATGAAAATAAAATAAAGAATAGATAATAACCACGTATTTAAAAGAATGAAGACAAAAAATATTGAAAATATTGGAAACGTACATTTGTTATAATCTGATATAGCTTTATAGACACGGGCAGTGGCGTACGCATGATTTTTTCAAGGGGGGGGGGGGGGGTTAACATTTTGAAATCGGGCTGAAAATTTCGCAACGTGGTGGTTGTCCTAGGGGTAATTTTTAAGGTTGGTGGTAATCATCCTATAGGGGTAATTGTCCTGATACGAAACATCTGACCACAAGGCCTTCAACTCGTTATTTTTATCACCGACCCACCCAAGCCGTCGTCATAAACGTGATAATAGGGACTTTTATATTTGCACGTTGACAGCTTTGACTGCAACGTGTGACGTCATTTTAAGGCACTGCGCATGCGTCACGTCGTCTCAGTCAGCGATCGAGAATGCGTCAACCTTGATTTTCCTAAATCTAGTACGGTACTAGTATATATGCCGCGTGCGCATACAATATACAGTTCCCCAGGTAGACAAAGGAACATCCCTTCCCTGCTATTCACATTTTTACATAATAGCAGTGAAGGGATGTTCTACCACAGCAATATGCCATTTTCGTAATGTAACCAAATTGAATGCATAGGTCTTTGTGAAGTGCCTCAATAGAAACTATTTCATTCACCTGATAAGAATAATAGTATTTCAATAGACAGAATCCTAACTGCATACATCATTGTTGCCAGGTTTGACAAACATTATGGCTTGACCTACCTAGCAACACTTAATATATGCAGTTGCATTCTGACTATTGAAATACTATTATTCCTATCAGGTGAATGAAATAATTTGTATTGTGCACTTCACAAAGACCTACGCATTAAATTTGGTTACATTACGAAAATGGCCTATTGTTGAGGGTAGAATGAGGAACTGTATATTTTGTCCTCTTTCTTTGTCTGTTATGTTCATAGTGTTACTTCCTGCATGCATGTATATCGTCGAAAGCAATCTAAAATATTTCTAATTGTAGTCAACATGGGCAGTTGAGTACGTCAACACGCGGATCAGTCGGCGTTCGTCGTGTTCTCGTCCACTCAATCTAAAAGTCCCTACTAGTACTTGGCTAGGTCGTGATATAAACATAATGCGGTCTGCCTTTTGGTCCGGCATGGATATAATTAGGCGAATGCCTCTTTGTTGTTAGTATTGCCCATCAATATTTCATCTCTCTTACAATTCTCATAATAATTATATACCCACTTCTCATCACGACTCTCGACTGTTAAAGGTATTACAAAGTTTTGGTATGGGGTCATGAATTTGGTTCAAATTAACATATTTGAAGCATATGCGTTCTTACAATATTCATTAATCGTTGTCGCGGTTAAAATCGAGTCTAAAGTTATGAAATTATAAATAATAAACTCTTTATGTTGTATAGCTCCCTCTCAAGGTCAAGATATTAATTTAGCTATGAAACAATGTTTCTTGACTAAAATCGACCGATTAGCTATTCCCGCTTGGAAATTATATATCACAACTACATATTCTGAGATTTTCATGGTCGCAGCTAATATTGTACGGCCATAGGCGCTATTTCAAATTTATCAAAATTTACCGGGAGCACCGGTAAATTTTTATATTCAATTTTTCTCAAAATCAGAAGTGTTTTAGGGGCTAATTTTTTTTAGTGCTTATAATACATCCACAGGGGCATCCAAATATAACAAAATTGTAAAGATTCCCTATCCACCCAATTTTCAAAATTTCCCAAGACTTTGTATTACCGTTGCTTTACTGTACGATCCGACATAATGGTGCATAAAATAATCAGAACTTTAACGTTATGAACGACGTGTTATTTTGTTGTCTGTTCGCCTACTCCTGGCATCAATTCAATATGATGGTAACATGGTTGTAACGGACAATCATTTCTACAACTTTTTACAACTAAAACATTGAAAGAAAGAAAAAAAAACATGTATGCATCTTACTACAGAAAGGTTCGTTGGCAGCAAACACATAATGAATTGAACGCAAGATTTCATCAGCAACTGAAAATCAACAACAAAAACTTATGCACAACTCTAGACTATTTTACATATTGTCAACTATAACAGCACGTTCACTATTCGCTACACAAATATGAAGAAAATAAATAAATATTTGTAATGTATAAAACATATTATGAATATATAAATCTACTGGAGAAACCAAGGGTCTAATGCTTTATCTTTTTTCATCTTTTCCGAAACTTGTATGTAAACGATTTTTTATGTGTGTGGGTGTGTTCAGTAAGAGGTTGGTTATTTGGTAAATTATTAATTGATGTGCTCTCCCACTAAAACACTCGCCCACTCTTCGTTGTCATTAACATGTGAAATTTTCTACCAAAAGATGGCGCTGTTTAAATTTGTTCTGGTACGGAATAAGAGGCCTAGGTGCTTTGAACCTGCGATAAAGCAATAAATGAAAACGTCTGCGAGATAAGACAGCTACTCGTCAGATATTGCGTAAGAGCTTTAGATCGCGTTTCAGTGTGGTGTCCGCAAAGTGCGCAATTTTGATGTTATTGCAAGCAAGAGGAGGGCATCATTGAGCCGTGTCTGTATCAGAAGGAGAAAAAAGTGCTTTAAAAGTGAGTTTACATTTTTTTATTTCTATACTAACATTTAATTAACATACTTAACTGTTGTAAAATGTAAGACAAATATAACATAACCTATGTTATGTTGTATTTGTCTTACATTTTATGATATTAAAAGTGGAAAAAATCCACCCCGTGCATACCACATACATGCAGTGCTAGAGGTCCATACGCATTAGCATGGACTCTCTATGCTTTGCTGGAGTGATCTAGACCTACCTAGTGCCAAAACTTTCATCAGTTTGCTTCTCTTATTTTTCTGCTTTCTTTCAGTTTTAGAGCAGTTGTATAATACTATATTCGAGTTAGATTTCCCTTTAAAGCCATGCAGCCCATGTGTAGGCAAATGAGTAAACTTTTTTGCTTTAAATGATGCCCCATGCCATGCATCCCATCAATCAAAACCCTACATAAAAATACATATATGGGATCATACATTTTGAATCTAGTCAGCAAAAGTTGAAAGTCCGAGCTCACTATCACTGACATAAGGATCATGCATTAGTAAGAGTCTAGACCCTACATATCAACTTTTCAGAATAAAAAACAGTAACTAGCCTATAGATTTATGTACTTTTCGTAAATAAATTAGGTAATTCTAGGACTTACCCATACTGTAAATTTGCAGGAGAAAACGAGAGTATTCAGGAGGATACTTCTTGCAACGGCTTTTTCACTCTGAATTCAAATACATTACATACACATCGTATAGTGCAATGCAATGCATTGTAGTCCTACGCATTGCCTTGAGTGCTGAATGTACCTGTACACACACGTACGTACACATTCCCGTTTGAAATAGCAAACTAGATGCGAGCATGTATAGTCTTGATCGATATTGCAGACCTTGGTGTGAAATTGGTCCACTATTAATGACTAATGACATTTGAGGGGGGGGGGGGGGGGGGGGGGGGGGGGGTTGTTCCCTATTTTTAATTCTGATAATTGCCCTATTTACTTTGACTTATGCTCATATTAGATGTTGTAGTCTTAACCCAATTATTATCTTGAAAAAAAAAGTTATTAAAGACGTCACAATGACGTCGTTATAACGTCGTCCTTACGACAATAAAATATCTTGGAAAAATAGTCTTTAAAAGAGGTCATAATGACGTCGTAATGACATTGTCAATACGACAAAAAATATATTGGAAAAAATAGTCTTTTAAAGACGTCGTAATGACGTCGTCGATACGACAACAATTATCTTGGAATAAATAGTCTTTAAAAGAAGTCATAATGACGTCGTAATGACGTCGTCAATACGACAACAAATAGCTTGGAAAAAATAGTATTTTAAATACGTCATGATGACGTCGTTATCACGTCGTCAATACGACAACATTACATTGGAAACAAAATAGTCTTTTAAAGACGTCAAAATGACGTCGTCGATACGACAAAAATTAGCTTGGAAAAATTAGTATTTTAGAGACGTCATAATGACGTCGTTATCACGTCGTCAATACGACAACATTACATTGGAAAAAATAGTCTTTTAAAGACGTCATAATGACGTCGTCGATACGACAAAAATTAGCTTGGAAAAAATAGTCTTTTAAAGACGTCATAATGACGTCCTTATCACGTCGTCAATACGACGACAGTACATTGAAAAAATTAGTCTTTTAAAGACGTCATAATGACGTCGTCGATACGACAAAAATTAGCTTGGAAAAAATAGTATCTTAAAGACGTCATAATGACGTCGTTATCACGTCGTCAATACGACAACATTACATTGAAAAAAATAGTCTTTTAAAGACGTCATAATGACGTCGTTATCAAGTCGTCAATACGACAAAAATAAGCTTGGAAAAAAAAGTCTTTTAAAGACGAGAAAATGACGTCTTTATGACGTCGTTAATACGACAAAAATTATCTTGGAAAAAATAGTCTTTTAAAGGCGTCATAATGACGTCATTATCACGTCGTCAATATGACAAAAATTAGCTTGGAAAAAATAGTCTTTTAAAGACGTCAAAATGACGTCTTTATGACGTCGTTAATACGACAAAAATTATCTTGGAAAAAATAGTCTTATAAAGACGTCATAATGACGTCGTAATTACGTCGTCCATACGACGTACGACGTGTTTACCACTTTACGACCAATTAATGACGTCTTTAAGACGTCAGTCTGCTATCAGGGATAATGTTCTTGAGCAAGACATTTTATCAACATTGCATCCCTCCTCCCAGGGGCTAAATGGGTACCCAGTAGCATGTTGGCGCATGTAAAGAGGTTAATAGGTGGAATGCACGCTCTCCATGGAGTCGAGAATGTGTACTGTAATGTGCGGAATAGTACGTGAATCCAGTGACCAGAAAATGAAAATACTGACAGTTTTTTGGTCGGTTACAGCTGGTAAAGCACTTTATGGTAAACAGTTACTGTTATGGTCATCATCCCCTTTTGCAAGACATTGAAATAATCTACATTAACCACTCTCCACCCCAGTGTTAAAGGAGGTCTAGCATGACGAGACTACGTGTCTTTCCAGTGGCCTGACTCGGGGCCAATCGGATAGACTACGGACGACGCGACCGCAGTATTCACGTGCGTGCAACATACGCGAAACCGAAGCGTGAGGAGAACTTCGTTCTGTTTCACGAACACTAGCACACGCTGACCGTTAATCAAGTTCATTCGTATAAGTGCAGTTGTCCAAAAGAAATCGTAGATGGCGGTGATCAGTATTTGCCATTCTACACCCCCTTTAAATGGGTACCCGATAAGATACAAATGTTAATGTGGTTGGATCGGCATGTGTGCGCTTGAAAAATAGCACAAAAATACTCCTCAGGGAGCTGAATGTGTGTCTTGGTATGTTTGCACCATCAAATATATCAAATGACCGGGGAAATGATAATTATCATGCAGAGAGCATAGCGCTTTAAAACGTAGTAGTAGGTGTTATATACCTCACTTAAGAAATCCAGCCATCTGATTGGTCGAATTGCATTCATAAACTTCAACTGTTCCTGTAAAATTCCCGGTAACCATGCATAAAACATTTCAATATTTTTAATAACCATGGTTATTAAAAAAATAGGTCAGTCTCCATGGTTACCCCATAGGTTTACATGTTAAAAAATGGTTTGAGCGATGGAGGATACCATACGTGTGCGAAAAATTGGTCGGCAATTTCAATACAATTGAATCTCGATCGATCTTACCGACAATTTTATCTTGCATTGTTGACATGAAGACGAAAATTAACTCTCAAAAACAAAAAAACAACATCTGCCGATAGATCTTGATCTAAGTTCGTGCCAATATGCATTGCAAAAGTAAAAGAAGGGTCCATTTCATGGAGCTTTTGCGAAGCATTCATCACACGCGAAGCCGGTTTCAATCCATTTTAATGTATATATCGTACAAAACTGCCAATCATGTTAATAACGCGCGATGGCCGAGAGGTCTAAGGCGCTGACTTTAGACACATCACCTTTTGTACGCAAGAGTTCGAATCTCATCTTCGACCTAAAAAAAAGTATTTTTTATTTTTTATTTTTTAGTCTATTTTTTTTCGGCATATAAAAGTATTAATGACTGCTTTAATATTCGAGAAATAGTTGTTTTCATACGCTCTCGGGAAGGTTACAATTGGGCTATTCCCCTCGGCAAGCCTCGGGGAATAGCACAATTCTAACCTTCCCTTGAGCGTAATAAAACAACTATTTCTCTCAAAGCAGTCATTAATACTATACTATAAGAATGTGACTATTATCATAATTATTTAAAGATATATACCTTTAACATGCACAATAATTTTTTAATAAATATACACCAGTCACTGGTTTCGACGTATTACATCTTACTATATAAAAGACATTGATTGTTGAAAATTGTCAAGAAATAATGGAGATTTATTTTATCACATTTAATTTTTTAAAGAAAACGTCATATCAAAATTATGGCAGTAATTGATCATAACTGTATGTCTAGCGTATTAAGATAAAACTTGTAATTCGAGTAATGTTTTTTGATTGCATGATATAACTGATTAGAAAAGACATGTGTACTCCGTCAAATTAGTTAAACCACAAAAATACTATTTCGTTTTAATCTACAACGTTCATTACAAAAAAAAATGGAATCTTTAGATTTTAATATGATTTTTTTCAATGATTGAAATGTACATGCATTCATGATATCGTCATAATTAAATAAAGTATAAGGAACCCCCGAAGGAAATGATCCATTATTAGTGAGTCTACATACATGTACAAATAGCATCGTTGCCTGTATTGTGTACGCATTTTATAAATGCTTGTATTCACAATTTCGCATATAAGATTTTACTATAATTCAGTTTTTACATTCGTCATTTGAAATCCTTTTACAACTGGATATCCTCTCATATTTTGTTTCTTTTGTTTAATTGCAGCTCCAGTCGAGAGTGAACGAATTCCTGAACATCGGTAAGTATCATAGTACACGATTACCCTTTTCTCTTTCTGTCATCTCTCCCACTCCCTCTCTTTCTCTCTCTCTCTCTCTCTCTCCCGTTTCTCTCTTCATCTTTTTCTAATGCTATCTTCAATATTTCTTGTACCTTTGTTAACAAGAATATTGTCTGTTTGGAGCAAGAAGGGCATTATCTTATAATACTTTGACATATACTATATTAAACGCCTTCTTCACTCTCCCCTATATTGTCTTGCCGTGATACTTTTCTATGGCTTTCAAATGACATTCAATGAAATTATGCCATGATTGATATTATCAGGCTACCTTTATTTTTGAGCTGGATGTAGAATAAGCAAACTCCGGTTTTGATATTAAAAAACATAATTATAACCATTTTCACATCCCAGATTTCCCTCTCTTGACCTGTCTGTTAAAGCCTCTCTCATCCCCTCTCCAATCCCTGCACTCTCTCAGTTAAAAAAATTACCAATTCTCAAACACTATTATCTCAATGATTGTTTTTCTCTCTTTCTCTCTCTCTTTCTTCCTTTCTCTCTCCCTTACTCTCTCGTTTCTAAACTTTGTCAATCTCCATCTGCCCCCTCTTTGTCTGTATCTTTCACAATCTCCACATGCCTCTTTCTATGTATTTTTTTACTCTGTTTCTGTCTATGTCTGTCTCTCTCTCCTTATCCCTCTCTGCCTCTCTCTGTCTCTTTACCTCTTTTTCTTTTTCTTTTTACATAGCAAACGCACCCACAGCGATGAAGCTAAAGATGATGGTGATAGAGATGACGAAAGCCTGGAACAACGTCCTTGAAAACGACGAGCCAAGATGGATCGTAAACCTACCTCACCTTAAAATCTTTAGGATGAAATGCAATAGCATTATCGAATAACATCCAGAGATTGATTTGGCGGTAGCAAGAATTTATCTTACACACACAACAGAATATTTAATTGAATTTTACCAGTGTATGTTTTCCTATTTTGATTTCTTGCCATTCTACCTCAAAACAGCTGCTACATATATAAGTGCAATCATAATTTAAAATACGCAAACACTTACAATTACTTAACTGTTATCAATAATGTATTACAAGTCATCAGGTTTTTTCCCTTGTATTGGTGTATGTTTTGAGAAATTTGCTATTAGTCTAAAATTGTACAGTTCTTATGATATCTTGCTTTGTTTTGTAGTACACAAAATGCTGCATTCATCTTAACAGTATTTCCTCTTAAATCTATGCAATGTTTACATGTTCTGCATAATATTCAAGGCCACTCTTTATTGGTAAATAGATTGATATATGTAAATATCATATTAACTGATTATGAAATATAATACATGTAATGTTTAATGTTTGGACTAATTGGCATTAATACATATTTTTTGCTATTGCACGAAATCCTCTGACAAGACATGAATCAATAATTATGTGCCTCGCTATAAACCAGGTGTTATACATAACTACT